CAGGTTTCATATCACCACCAGATGAAGTGATGATATCCAAAGATGAAACTTACCTGACAATTTTGGTAAGTTATGAGGCTCATACAAGAAAAATATTTTCTGAAATAACCTGGGCCTAAGCTATATATTTATGAATTTGAATAGGGGTTTCCCCCCCACTAGAAGTGCTTTTCTGAATATGGAATTCCTAGATGGACTCCACAGAAAAATAGTTTTTAATGTACTTAAACTCATCTAAAGAACAAGAACTATGTACCTTCCTACATGACCATCATAATTCTGCTTGCCATGATGTAACATTACTTCCAGTATAGGGGAAATATAGAGTGGGATTCTACCGGTTCGGTTCGTAGCTCTGACGATCAGCTGGGAATGAACTGGTTCGCTCCAACGATCAACTGGGCCCGCCCACCTTCCCTTGCATTTTACTGACTGATATCCTCTCAGCTGGGTTCATGTGGCAGTGTGGATTGCTCTCACCTCATCTGTTTTCCTCCCCATCAGTAATGCGGATGGTAAGTTTTCTCCAAACTGTATATGTGCATGCAGCGCACTATCATCAAACCAGTTGTTAAACCGGTAGGATCCCACCACTGGGTAGGTGATTGATGAAATCCTACACCAAGAGCTCCTGTTGAGTTTAGGTAGATCGTATACCCCTATAACCCTAAGGGGAGCATTGCAAAATGTAATGAGAGTCCCCCCTCCCCCCTGAAATTGTGGGTCTTGTTTGCACTACTGTGGTTCACCATTTCATCTGTTGAATTGTAGGTTATTGAAGAAACTTCCAAGTTAGCGTGAAAATAAAACTCACATTCCTCTGTGAAATTTTCATTCCAACTTTTGCTCCAGGGGTGGCTATTCCAGAGAAAGCTACTTGTAGCTGCAGTCCTGCACTTGTGGGAAGCTCAAACTCATTGTCCATGAAGATGTAGTGAGCCATGAGATCATTCTCAGCCCCCTGGGAAATGGCCTGGACAATCTGCAGGGAAAAACACACGGAAAAACAAATGAGCTAACCTTTGCATCCTTCTTAGGGAGTTTTTCTAGCTTCCCCTTTTGAAAACTGAATAAAGATTCAAAGAAAATTCCGTTAGTTAGATATATTAAGCATTGTTCAAACATATCTCAGGGGTGTAACACGTGTCCAAATAAAAGCAAATAGGTATTATTAGAGGAAGTTTGCTTCCCTCTGCTGGTTTTCCTTTAAAAAATGTTGTAGCTTAATATTGGGTGGGATTTGTTGACTGGGGGCAGGGAGAACATGCATCGGTTTCTGTATTGAGCAAGAAGTGTAACACAGAAGTAGGGAGCCTGAGTATTTCCAGATATTGTCCATTAAACACGGCTCTGAGTTTGGAAGGCTGGAAGTGAAGGTCCTTATGACCTTGCGACTGCTAAAGACTTTACGGACACGATCCCTTGCAGAATAACTACCTTCTGATATGAATGCTTTGTGTAACTGTGTCCCACAACAACAAAAATTACCTCAGTGATGATAGTGGTTTCACCTCAGTTGGGATAGATATATTACACCAATGAAAACCATACAGAAGAAATGTACGGAGTATGTTTAAAAAAATCCCACCCTTTTTGCTGGACTTTTACAATCTGGATTGTATGATGAAAGCCAGGAAGAATATGAAATTGGTCAAAATGAATGTATGTATTGTGTGTGTGTGTGTGCGCGTGTGTGTGCGCTAATCTGTATTAGGGCTCCAATGGGAGGATCAAGGAACATTAATCGTTTGTTCCTATTATGATTCCAATCCAGATCGCTTTCCATCTGCCTTCAATTTGCACTGGAATTAAAATTATCATTTGGGTTCCATTAAAAACTTCCTGTTCAGTTCACATAGTCCTCAAGAGAAAGCAAAGAGCATAAAATCCCTTCTCATGTCAGAGTTCGATATACAAATCAGATTCCCAGGTCTGTTTTTCAATTTTAAAAAAAATTACATCCCACAAATTGGAACAATATAAGTGGCATCTCATCTAGTCATCAAGGTTGACTCAGCCTTCCATCCTTCTGAGGTGGGTAAAATGAGGACCCAAATTGTAGGGGGCAATATGCTTAGAGAGGGCTGGAAAGCACTCTGAAGTGGTATATAAGTCTAAGTGCTATTGCTAATGCTAATCTGTTTGTCAGGTTTCAACACAGTGAAAGACTACTATTTAAAAACAAAAACCAAAAGCTACATTGCTTGCTCATCTTGAGCAATCAACTTTCCACGAAGGAAATATTTTATTTTTAATAGGCTTGCATACTTCCTCCTCTTATCCAGCTTCCATTGGATTATAAGAGGTATCATAAAATTAAAATAAAGAAATAATTCCAGAATAAAAGCTGCTTTTATTTTTTGGGGCCTCTTAGTAATTTTGTATGCAACTCTGAAGGACTTCACATTGAATTCTGTGTGTCTTTTTCATGGTTAAGTGGACATAGAGGATGCAAACTTAACTGGTTAGTGGTTAATTAGACTGATTAATGAATAGGAAATAAAAAAGGAACATTGAATATACTGTTTAGTATTTGAAGACTTACTTTCTGAGGTATACTCTGCAAGGTTTTAAAGCTTTTCAGAATCACATTTCCCAACAAGTTAATATCGCTAAGTTTCAAGTAGCCCAATTCTTCTTGGAAGATTCTGAAGTAGGCTTTGACATCTGGTGTTTGCTGCTTGCTGGAGATTTCTTTAAGCATTTTCTCAAAATTAAGCATGATTCCTTTCATAATATCCTAAGAAAAACAAGAAGAAGGGGAAATCCCACTATGAAATTTCTGATCTCATTTGAAGAAAGAATTTAAACCAGCTTTGATGACATACCACATTTTCAATAAATTCTACTTAATCTACATGTAGAAAAAGCTTCAGGCTTCAACTATTAATCTGCAGGATTTCTCAAAGTTTTATTTTAAAAATACTTTGAAATAAATACAGCTTGTAAAATTTGCTGGTAAATCTCTGGTGTAAAAGGGCAAAAGAATATGGGGACAGATCAAAAACTGAACACTAGTTGTTTTTTAAGGAACCTCAGCTGCTAGGATAAATTTTATCAACTCAAGTTCTGCTTTATGCTTGACCTTTTGATTTGACAACACATAGGAAAAGGAACGGTAGACTAAGAAAATTGTCCATATTATTAAAATACTCATTTGGTTAGACATTCAATGAATCACCTTACAGCAGGACAATTCCAAATGATGGCCAGTGGCTTTTAGTGCTATTTCAGTGTTGCAGAAAAACTGCAAACTCTTTTGGAAATACAGACTCAGCATTAAATAAACCGAATTACTGTATATATGAAGCATACCTAATCCATTTTTTAAAAAAAATAGTTTTTATTAAACATTTTTACCTTTAAAAACAAACAAAGCAATATAAAAAAGTTATACAGCCTTCTGTATTGGCATCAATGGTGAGTTGTAGGCGGTACGCCCCGGTACTGGCGTAACAGTGCCTGCTGGGAGCACCAAATACCGTTCTGCTCCGGTGCTCCGGAGGGCCCACCAGCCCTCCTTACCTGTATTTGAGCTCTTTGGCACTTCTGTGCAAGCGCACAGAGCGTACGGCCCCTGTGCAACGCTACGCCAAGCAGTTGGAGCGTTGCAGAGGCGCTGCTGCGCGCATTCATGTGGTGAGTGTTGGGCCTCATTGCACTGTACCAGTTGCAATGGGATGCGGAACCCACCACTGATTGGCATACATGTTTAGCCTTTGTAGTTCTCAATTCTACATTGCCTTCCTATCGGTTTTAACCTCTGTAATAGTGCAATAACAGTTGTACTAACAATTGTAATAATATTAATTGTTCATATCACCATTGTATCTACATTGTGGTCGCTACTTTAAGTTTGATAGTAATTAGTAACTTTGGTA